CGCCCCCCCGAGCGCCCGCGGCTCCCCCGCCATCTCTGGGCCGGGCGGAAGTCCTCCTCACGCATGCGCACCGAGCCGGGGCGGGCGGCCAGAGGGCAGACACCTGCCCCCGAGCAGCGAGTGCCCTGTCACAGAACCCCGCTACAGAGCACAGGCTGAGAGAGCCAAGTCATTCTGCTTAATCGTTGTTTCCGTTCATGACACGCTAGAGTTTTTTCAAGCGTTTCTCTGCAGTTTTAAAGCGTAGGCATTTACGTATTTTATCTTTTATTTACTCAAAGCAAGAGCTGAGATTTACACATTTAAGAACCCAGAAAAAAGCAAGAGATAGTAGTAGTATATTAAAAAAAAGCTAACGCTTTGCAAACTGACAGGAAAGAGGCACTAAAAAAACAGGGAAGAGGCCACTAAAACAAGACTGATAATTCCTAACTTCACGGGCAAGTAGAAGGTTTGAGAAGAGTACTGGAAGAAATGCTGTCATTTTAGAGCTAACCTAAGTTTGCCGCTTTTGAGGATAAATGTGCGCTAGATTGATTAGAAAATGTCTTACCATTTCTTCATTTCTTCCTCTGCCATGTAAATACACTATATGCACACACGGAATGGTACATACTAAGTATATGGAACGATGCATAATAAATATATACATACATGGAATAAAGATGCTCCATGTTCTCTCTCAATCCAGCCTTGTAAAGCTGGTAATTCAGCTCGTAGGAACACAGGACTAGAAGTGACCTACAACACTGCTGAATCCAGTCCCTTGCCATTGAAGGCACTTCCCAGTATAATCACTCCAATGAAAGTGGCTACTTTTAAGTCCAAAAGTAAGTTTTTTCTCCCCTTAGTCAACTACTATGATGGATGGCTGTTCAGACCTACTGCACAGATAGGAAATACCACCTTAAACGTATACCAGATGTAGCCTAAGAACTGTATATTGTGCAATCATTGCCTATGACGGCCCTGTGGCTCTGGTGTTCGTAATGTTTAATTTGAACTACACAGTTGATAAGTCCCTAGAATGACATTTGAAGAGGGCACTCAACATCACCTAGCTTTAAATCATAAACAGTCCTAATTGTCTTATGCCTTTGACTCACTGATGGTAGAACAACTGTGCAGCAACAAAGATTACAAGGAGCAGAACTCAGACCTTTCTTCCCCTTCTCCTGTGCCTCATCTTGCTCCTTGGCACACCCGTGACACCACTTACACCTGGCTCCACTTCCAGTGTGGAGCCTAGGCAGGCTGCCTGCTCCTGGGAGCAACAGCATGCATATTTAACAAAACAAAACAAAACAAAACAAAACACAGAGCTCATTCGGTCTTGTCCCACTTCTGGGACAAGAACAGGCTATGGCATTGTTTACTAATTACGAAATCTTTGGAAACTGTTCATTATCGCTTTCCATCTCTCAAAGCATGAACGCAGCTCTCCCAGGGTTTTACAGCTGTGGACATTGTAGGTACCTTTGCCTTTGAGAACCAAATGAATAGCATTAAATGTCAGGCCAAGAGTTTGAACAATGTGAAAGTTGTACAAATGAAGCGGGAAAAATGAGTCTAGAAGAAACACAGTGGTAACTAAAACCGTAATCCATGGCAAACTTTATTACTACCCTAGAAGAGCATAAGGGGAAAAAAAAATTACAGAATTTTGAAGTGAACTGAACCAAAGGAAAGCACTGAGAACAGGGAACCTGAATGCCACTATGACCAACTTTCCATGGAGGAAAAGATGGGCCAGAAAAATAAGAACTGGTAAAGCACTTGGGCTGGATGAAGTCCAAGAAAATGTGTGACTGTTAGTGACTGACGGTATCAAATATTTTCTATATGAACTCCAAAGGAGGATGCAATTATCTCACTAAATCAACAGATATCAATAGGAAAAAAATTCACGCTTCCAGGTACCCAAGCCTTCTTTCAAGTCTGAAGGAAAAGCTAAGAACTTCAAACTAGTTACAGATGGAGACCAAACTTCACTGAATTTAGCTTCATTGTGCTTGCCAGCTAGATGATATCAGCACAGGGAGAGAGAAAATCATTAGCAGCTGTGGGATATATAGAGAAGGACGTAACGGCAATTATCACCTGAGGACAGTGAAGTTTGTCTGTAATGTAATAAATACTGCAAAGGGCCAGTATCTCCGCTGGCTCTGTGAGTCTCTAAACCTGTTCAACTATATTTTTAAGCCAGTGAAAATGAGAGATGAATGGCATAATCTTTTATAGTACCTATTTTAAAGCATAAATTAAGTACTACTGTGTGTTAATTTGACCTAATTTAAATGGCCATTTCACACATTCAGATTTCTGGGAGAAGGCTACTAAAAAGTGATAGTATAAAATTCTTGCAATTTGGAAGAGTCAGAACAGTTTGAAGGCTGGAGAGGATATTAATTGATCCTGTACTCACACTGTACTTTTCTTAAGAGAGAAAAATGGCAACAGGATATAACGTTTACAACTCTGAAAAAGTGTACAGCTGCACACTGAGATATTTTGTTGGGTAGAGTTTGTGCTGTAAAGGAATGTCAGAAAGAAACGTTCACCTTCTCAGATATATATGTGACTGCCATAATAGCATTCAAATTGGTTGACAGTTTTGCAGATAAACTGGTTAACGTATTTTTAAATAAAGATGGTCGCATCACAGGTAGTCAGAGATTAGTTTGTTTCTATTTGCACTCATGATGGATGAGAGGAGTGACAGCATGCAGCCTGGCGGTAAATGATATATGCATAAGGCTAATAACATCTTGCAAACCTACAGTGGTGACACAGTCACAAGCAAGATGGAGTTAGAATGAAACTCTGAACTCTAGTCCATCCTTATTGAGGGAAAACCGAAGAAACTACAGTACCTTGGAAGGATGGTTGTTGCTCACGGTGTTTTCTTTAGTATTTCAACAGTTGAACACAGCTGCATGTTGCAACTGGTGGGAGCTGATGTCAATGCTCTGTAATAAAATGTGGTCAATAAAAACCAAAAGCTAGGTTTACTACTTTCTAACCCATCTCATCATAACATCTCTGATGTGTACACAATCAGCCACAGGAAAACAAATGAGAACATGGTCTGTGATGAAAATAAAGATGTTGAAGCCATCATATAAGAACATAAGGGAGGCAACGTGTAAGAAAACTTAGGACATGCTGATGTACACATGTTGTATAAAATGACTTAAGGATGGTATTTCATGCTTGCAATGATGGTGAAAGGAAAATAACCAAGGGAAAGATAAATATATATATACACACACATATATGGACAGGATGTTGCCAGACCTTCACATAGTCAATCTATTTCATAGTTTGATAAGCAGCTACAGAAGGCTGTGAAATTTGATGACCTTTATTAGGGAATGGAAGGGAAGAAGAGAATTTTCTAAACTGCCGGTATAAAGGCACTTCTAGCCTTAGTTAGCGAAGAAGGTGCAACTCAGCAATTTCTTACTAGATATATAATTTATGTCCATTAAAGAACTGTTATTTCTCTGCAGTCTTCCATCTCTCTCTCTTCTTTAAGTATCACAATTCTGTCACTGGGGTTAGACAACATTTTGAACTGGTGGGTGAGGTTTAGGAAAACACATATTTAATCTTTTTCGGTAGGTGGTAGGACGCCAGTGTGCTGTTTAGATACCAACACTGGATAAACAGTGTATAATATCAACACAGTAGTAAATTTGCCTCCCTGCTTTGTTATGTGTAGTAAACACAAGTTAGCTATTTTTATCCTTGGGAAAAAAAAATGCTAATTTGTATAGCTTCAGTTTTATTTGAAAGATTGACTGTCTTTGCCATGTATATATTTATGTTGGATTACACCTGCTTCTTCCAACTGCAGCTATAATAACAGAATATGTTTTCACTTCACACGATTCAGGTAGGTGGACCAGTTTCCTATAACGGGGCTGCCACAGTAGGACAAATCTAACTTCTAGAGTTGATGGTTTTTTGCCAAGTAAAATCTTAGGGCTAAGCAAAACTTTCAGATTACTTTTGTCTTCTTTAAATTTGAACTCCAGCAACTGCACACAATATATGCAGTTCAGTAGAAGAGGAAAATTACAGTAACTATAAACAAACAAAAAATATTAATCTAGTTTTAATCCTGAAGCCAAGTATAGGACAAAGTAACCAAACTGCTCATGGAAAGCATATTTGCTCTTGAAATGCTGTTCCAGTAATCTAAACAGAGATAAGAATTATGTTTTGGAGGGTTTTTTTGCCTTTTTTTTTTTTTTAAGGTGGACTTTTAAATTTCTTTTAAATATGTTTCTGGATAGCGTAGTGACTTCTCAGTTAAATAATTTCAGAAAATAAATATCAGAGCAGATAACGTGATCTCAGAATTGGGACATTTAGTTGAAGAGCCCGATGTTCAGGGTCTGAACATCCAATACCTCCTGGCCTGCTATGATTTCAAACAAATCATTTGGGTTTTTAAGTAGCAACTGATTCTGAGGGTCCATCTTCTCTTTCTCCAAGCCTTACCACCTTTCAAAGATGCTGAGCACTCACAGCCCCAAATGATTACTGCTGTGGATATTTAGCTCTTCTGAAAATCATGCTCAAATTAGTTTAGGCGTTCAAAACCTGTACCATCTGAAATAAGAAAGAGTTTAAAACATGTTTTAAAAATGAGGCACAAACCCCACAAAGGTATTTACATGTGTGATTTCCATTTAAGTCTAAATTTTTTTTCTAATGCAAGTTTTCTCTTCACTAGCATTAATAGCATTAACATACATGTTTATGTATTTCTAGCTGTTTTCCACTACGGGAAGATGGAGCAAGGATATTGAGAGAAGAAATACCAAAAAGTGACTTTTAGCATGTAAAATATACAAAAAAAGAAAAAGCTTAGAATTATACTTTGGATAACAGCATCTGTCTCATTAAAAAGTTCAAGTTGTAGTTAAGATTAGTTTCAGGAACTACGATTGCTCATGAGTGCTCATGTGAAGCTTTTTTTTTTTTTTTTCTAATTGCATTATCTTATTATGTCCTCATCTACATGAACAATGAGGAAATTACCTCTGCTTTCATTTCAAAACTCTGTGCTTACTCACTTGAGCTAAGTGACCACTATGAGCTTTGTTAACACACAACCTCGGTTTGGTTTTGAAGCAGAGTCTCTTCTTGGATGAGGTATTCAGAACATATAAGTTTGCAAGACTGAGTCTTACCTGACACCCAGATTCCACAAACATGAGTAATCTTACACGAGATTTCTGAAACACCAAACTGCTTCCATACACAACTGCTTGCAAGACTGAACCCTGGGGTCAAACAGAAATACTAAAGGTTGACTGTTACGCTGTTAGCTATCTTCATTTCAGTCATTTCTAGAAATCTAAGGGGCTGCTCCTAAAACAAAGATGAAAGATAGGATTCTTAGTATGAGTCTTCAAAACTTAAGTTACTTCCTAAAAGACAGTGTCTCTATGCTATTTCTCCAGCAAGTCCAGAATAGGATTAACCACGCGCCCAACAGTAATAAGCTTAAATCAATAGCAAAACTTCAAAATGAGCAGGAGCTAATAATTTTGCCAAAAGACAGAAACTGAAATAGATTTAAATGACGTACAAAGAGGAAAGTTGGCCATATCTTCATGACCAAAATATATATCCCATAATTATCTAAAAAAGTCCCACCAAATTGCTATGAATTGCACTCCTGTTAAATACAAACCATTGAAATCATGAAGTTACAGTGAGATTTATAAATAAGTACAAATATTATCCTTTTCTGTTTTCTTCGTATGTTTTGTAACAGTCTCAAAAAAACTTAGCACTGGGCTAAACAGACTTCTCTGGGTCTTGCTCTTGCTACAGTATTTGTTCTTAACAATTACATCTGTATTAGTTTTTTTTAAATGAAGGCACAAAGGTGAGTCTTTACTCTTTATCCAAGTTACTTTTTACCAGATATGAGAGCAGAAGATAGGGACAGACCTCACAGGTGAGCAACATCAGCCTTCTGTAATGACAGAGCATCACAAAGCATGCAGGTCATGGTTAAAATGAAACCATGACCAATTTAGGGGTGAAACAGCTTGTGTGCAGTTTCATACTTCCTTCCACTAAGGACCTGCTCTGCTCTCCAAAAACCCAGTGATGTTTCTGTTTGGTGAACTGCCCATTGGAATTCAAGCAACAGCAGCCTCATCTCCTGTTCCAGCTGTGCTTTGCTGAACACACCACAGAAAACCTGTGGCAAAACGCGGCAAGCTACTGAATTTCTAAGGCCACGTATGCCCTCCAGGCCCTCTGGCTCAGCTGCCTTCAGGCCTGTGCTCACCCCTAAACTGCGCCAGGCCCCTGCTCGGGGGTGCTGTGCAGGCCTCCTCACACCCTCTCCAAACAAGAACGGCTTCCGGAAGTTTCTGTGGGTGCGTGTCAGCTGCTGAGGGAGTCGATGCATACCTGCACGGCCCGTGAGGAGGGGGCGGGGAAGGGAGCGGTGAAGGGCAGCCGTTGGCCTTTCCTCCCTGCCGCCACGGGGCAGGGGAGTCCTGACCTCCCCCTAGCGAGCCTGGAGGAGAGGGCGCCCTGCCAGGACGCTTCGGGTCTCCATTTTATCGCAGACGGCGGCGGC